GGAAGTAGATGGAGGTTGGGGGTGTGGGGTGGGAGGGGGGGTGCGATTTTTGTTCATAAAAAGGTATTCCAACAATAAGGTTTAAAGTTATTATACCAAAAGGTATCATTTGATACAGTACCTTATCACGTTGTCGAGACATCTCAAAGCGCTTCACAGCATACGTTGTAAAATGGATTCACTGTGTATTTTGTGGGCGATATCGCAGCGGCCAATTGAGCAGTGTCCCACAAACATTCGTGGATTGAGTGACCACATTTTTTTTAGGGAGTATTACCCCATCCGGGAAACGATCCACCAATTGACTAACAACCAGGTTCCTACTTACTGCTCGGTAATTGGAGAAAAAATACCTGAAGCCACACACTGATATTGTCGCTAATATGTGGCTGTCAGCAATACAGCAGGGCTTTCCGCAGTCAATATATAAATTGATGCTAGGGGGAATTTAAAAACAAAATGTAGAGCTGCAACTTGCAACGACAGCAAGAGAAAGAAACCTTTCTTACCATGGTGCTATGGCTGTGCTGGTTTCAGCTGTAAAACAGATGAAAGTAGAGTTCAGAGGCAGGTAATGGGAGCCAGGGATGCATGTGAGCTGACTAAATGGTCATTGTTAGGCGCAATGCAAACAACGAGAATGGTTTTAAATGCGTCCTTGGTTTACAGTGCAGCCCTCGATAGCCTGTGATCATGTTTTTTATTAGTTCAGTGTCTTGCTCTTTTATTCACAAAAGTAAAAAGAAAAGCAAAGAATAAAAGATCTGAGGATTATGTGAGGCCCTGTCTAAGTGCACAGAGCAGGTCAGGTTCCTTCTGGTACACATATTCATTTCGACCCCTTTATTTTTCAAGTCCTCTAGAGACCGAGTTAAGGCAGGTTCAGAAAGCTGGCCATCATTCTTACGTGTGTGCTTGTCTAACCTTCACTGAGTAAACTGATGACTTGATTCCCAAGCCCCGGAAATAAACAGTCCCCTTCAGGGGAAAAGGCAGGGGGTTTCGATGGGATTAAACAGGGGATCAGGTAGGTTCTGCTTCACTTAACACTGCTTCTGCAGCAAATAAACAGCTCAGGTGACTGACAAAGGGCAAATGTGATGGTGGCTGGAAAGGGATTCCCTTTGTAGCTTAAGGCTGTGACAATCTTCTACGGGTTTTAAACTACAGTTTTCTCTCCAGGAAAGAGACGGGTGATTTATTCAGAGGGAATAGTTGTCACTTAGACACGTTTTGTTTTTTATCTCAGAAATAAAACCTTAAACGTGGAACTATTCTGCCACAGCTCTGCAAAGTGCACTTTCTCTGTTATCTACGCTGGGTTGTTTTTAGCTGCTCATTTTACAATGAGGGCACCATTTCGGCCAATTCTTTATCAAATAATTTTTTGTGGAGTCCCATAGCGTAGAGGTCAGCGCGCTCACCTCACAAGAGAGAGGACTCGGTTCAATTCCAGAACAGGGCGAAACCTTAGGCATGTTTCTTTACTCCACATGCCTCTAGTTACCTAGAGGTAAGTAGGAGACTGGTTGTTGGTCGATTGTTGGATCGCTTTCCGGGGGTAATAATCTCTCCAAATAAAATTTGTCATTCAATCCACAACTGTTTGTGAGATGCTGCTGTGCACAATTGGCTATCGCATTTCGCCCACAAAATACACAGTCAATCCTCTTTACAGTATATTCTGTGAAGCGCTTTGAGACGTCTCAGGGACACAATAAACCGCTATATCAAATGCGAGGATTATTATTATAATAATATATCGGTATGTTGGAGAAATCTTTTTGGGGAAGTTGGATAAAAGGATAGATCAGGGGTTTAATCCTTGTTCAAGCTGTTACTACAATATCCATGCTATTGAACACGTAACCAAAAATGTAGGGGTAAAGCGAAGAGCAGGGGAACAGGACTAGAGAGCTACAGTTAGGGAGAGCAAATACCAGCAACAAGACATGATGGAGAAAGAGCACGGGAATGGGATTTGCCAACAAAATACAGCCACTCCACTTTATTCAGTGAAGTGCTTTGAGACTTCCCAATGACTTGATAAGGCGTTATATCAAATGGAAGGATTGTTGTTTTTACTACTAATATTATTATTAGAGTGAAGAGCTCCAGTGAGAGAGCGAACACAAACATAGACACAATTGGTGAATGGTTCCATATTCTGCCCTTTAAACCCACTCCGAGTCTATGAACGGGCTTGTGTTAGTTACTGAATGGCAGGAATCTGATTGACGACACTTTTCCTCTACAAAAATCTGCATTTTATTTATTTCACATGAAATAAAATCCAGATTCGGGTGACAGTGCAGACTGTTCATTTTAAAGACACACAAAAAAAGTCAGACAGTGGTTAAGAGATGCCTGTGATTCTGTATTGTGCAGGACTTCAAAGATGGTGCTGAGGGCATGGTGCACCCCAGTTATGTCTCCCTGGCAAGACTGTATAAACTGGTGAACCACAAGTTAAATTGCATTGCGTCTGCCGAGATTGGATTCTTAGCCTCAAAGCTGTCATGGTAGGGTGGGGCATAGCTGCTAAGTCTGGCACGAATGGCTTGGCACAATTTCTAATGCAACACGAACAGGGGAAGAGAGTGCTAGGAGATTTCTATCAAGTCCCGTCTAAAGACCTTCCTCTTGCACCTTGCCTTCGATCACCCTTCTACCCCCACCCTCCCTGCACTCCACCCCTCCTGACCCCAACTCCCAGCTCAGGTCCAAAAATCCCTGACGCCCGGGGACGTCTTTCTGACGTGAAGGACGTTATGCAAGTGTAATTTCTTGTTGTTGTTCTGCCATCGTATTAGATCATGGCAGATCTGCACCCATGGGATTTATAATAATAATAATAATCCTTGGGTTTGCTCCAGTGCATTATCACGTCATCAGGACATCTTGAAGCACTGCACAAGACTAACCCTGTGTGAAGTGTAGTGACTGAAAAGTGCAGTGACTGTGTTTGAGATGTTGATATCAATGATTGTCTTGGAGGAGCAGAATTCAAGGAGACCATTTGAAATCTGACAAGTGTAGGTTTGAGTTCTTTTGAAATGAATAGCGAGTACAGGGAACTCCAGGCAGGCTTTCTGGTGAGCAACATCGCACCATCCTGCCCACAGCTAGGACACGCATCCCTACCGCCGAATGATGGTTGCATCAAGATGGATACCAAACCCTGGACAGATGTATCATCTCCTCAAATCAAGTTAAATTTAAAACTTACCATAACCGGGAGAGTCTTATCATCTATATATAGAAAATTTGTTCCTTGTCCTTAAACAAGCAAATGTAAATTCCACAAGAACCACATCTATCGCTGTATTAAAGCCCACATCCTGGATGCTTGGAGCTGTGGTTGCTACAAGCTAAGAACGTTCCCATTCAAAATTGCTGAGGTCTTTGGGGGGGGGCGGCGGAAAGTGGAATTTCTGTGACCAAGACGCTGTGGGAGACTGACTCCAGTAATGAGCTGCGATGTAAAAACTGGATTAAAAAAGTGCTGTTTGCCACACGTCAGCGCTCACTTTGACTCAGATGTTCAATTTCAAAATGACTCAACGGCACATTATTCTATCGTTACTCCATCTTACATCGTTACTCCACCTTACATCGTTACTCCATCGTACATCGTTACTCCATCTTGTGTTGATCATAGCCATGTACTTCGCACCTTTCATTTTCGGTTTTGTCAAATTCTTAGAGAAACGATGGTCCTTTCGCAGTGTCCGAATGCCTCGAGGCGCTTCGCAGTGAGTTCCTGTCGCGAGCAGACGCTGTGTGTTTGGAAGGAACAGCCGCAACTTGCATTTATACGGCTACAACGACAAATTACATTTGGAATAACGCCTTTCACGTGAGGAGAACGTCCCAAGGTGCTGGGCAGTCAGCGATACGCACCCGAGTTGGTGGTTGGGATCAGGAGGGATGGCGGGTAGGGGTAGGAGGGTGACCAAAGGCATGGTCGAAGAGGAGTGTCTTGAAAGAGGCAAGGAGGGGGGCGATATGGAGGGACTGTGGAATGGAGTTCCAGAAGGTGGGAGCAGAGAAGCTGATGGCCCGCTCGCTAATTTAGGTGTATGTTAAAGATCCCGATGGCACTGTTCAAAAAGAGCAGGGAGTTTCTCCCAGGGTCCTGGACAACAAATCCCCTAAAATAAAATTGGTCACTCACTCCATGGCTGTTTGTAGGGCATTGCTGTACGTAAACTGGTTGCCACATATCCGCAAAACACACAGTCACTCCATTTTACAGTATATCATGTGAAGTGCTTTGAGACGTCTCAACGATGCAATAAGGCACTGTATCTAATGCGAGGATTATTATTATAAATATCTGGTGGAATTTCCCCCCAGTGCCTTGTTTTAGCTGTTGCTGATGCCTATGATGAGAGATGCCTATGATGAGAAATAAGTGACTGTCTCTTGAGAGATTGGAGCCTGTGAGTGTTATCTGCATCCTGGCACTGCTATAGGCATTTGAGCTGGCCCTTTCCACCTTCCCCCCCTACCACCACCACCATCAACCCTTTCCCAATGTATCATTTTTGGGGAGAGCCGGTTAATTACCAAACGGGAGCTCCTAAAGCAAAGTGCCTTTTATCCTGACTCGTCGCAGATTAATGAGCAGTGGCATGTTTCTCTCTTCCTAGCAATTCATCATCCAACACAACCAGTGCTTTAATGATTAAACTGTTTGCCTCGTGGGGTCCCTTCTCTTTTAATTGCTCTCCCCGGCTTGTGACCTGGAAAAAACAAGTGACAGCTTCCATCAGTGAGCCTGGCTTGCCACTGGCTTCTCTCCTTTATTTATTTCTTTGGCTCGTACAAGGTTCATTGAGATCGCTCCTCTGTTAACTTCATTAAGGAGATCTATGGAGGTCAAGTGTTACTGCATGCACCGGGGGCGGGGGGCCGTGAGGCTAATCACCACAAACAGGTTGAAGGCAACCTGTTTTATTTCACTTCATCTGTTGGTTGCAGCTCGGTTATTAGGGTCTTGTAGCTCAGTGGTTAGAGCACTCGCCTCGGAAGCAAGAGGACCCGGGTTCGAGTCCCGGGAGGGGAGGTTGTGTGTGTATGTATGTGGGAGAGTCGTGTGTATGGCGGGAGGTGTATGTATGTGTGCAAGGGTTAGGAATTTGTATGTATGAAGGGGATGTAAGTATTTATGTGTGTGTATGGGGTGGGGTGGGTTATCTGTGTGTGTTTATGTGTGTGTGTATGTATGTGGTGCAGGTGGGTGGTTGTGAGTGTGTGTGGGTGGGGGGGATTGTATAACACAGTCTGTGTGTAGGGGGGGTATGTATGTGTATATGTGGTGGGGGGAAGAAAAGATTGAATTGGCCTCTTTCCCTCTCTTCTTACAGCTGATGTCCCACAATCACGTGTGACGGATGACTTGGATGCTGGTGCCAGAGACAGTTGGGGGTTGGGAGATGAACCCCACCAGTCACTGGCCTCTGGAGCAGAGAGCGGACATTAATGTGCCTCCGAGAACACAAAAACAAAGGCTGTAAGAACGTGACATTTTTCCATTAATAACTATTTCCTGCTTTATTCAAAACCGTTCATTAACTTTGCTCGTCTCTGATAATGATGGCACCCCCGGTGAGAGACCTATTCTCATAAACAGACTGTCAGAGGCCAAGGACTGGAGCAGAGGAAATAATGAGAAAGGATTACAATGGGATTCATCCCCTGCGGTGACAGAGTATCACCAGTCCTCATCTTGGTTAATTAGCAGTGGCAGTAATAAACTGACCCCCTGAAAACTGTTCAGCCAGCCAAGGGAAGGTTGTGTACAAAAGACCCATTAAAGGTTTGTTGACTGGGACCCGGGCCGAGTGCTGCCTTGGCAAGGAATGAGGTACAGCAGCTTAATCATAATGTTAATCTTTAGCTGTTGATACAGCACTTCCGACGTCAAAACGTCTCGGGGCACTTCACAAGGAATTCGTGTCAAGTGTAACTGACTGTGTATTTGTAGGCAGACGTGGCAGTCAATTTCCGTGCAGCAAGGTCCAAAGAACGTCCCACCTTGAAGCGAGCGAACAGTTAATCCGAGCGTATGTTAACCTAGCAGGCTGATGACCCAGTGCAGGGCAGTACTGGGGGAGTGCTAGTTTGTCAGAAGTGCTGTCCTTCAAATTCGAACCAAGGTGACGGCTGCCTTTTCAAGTGGGCATAAACGATTTTGAAATTGGCACAATTCAAAAAGAAAAAGGAGTTTCTCCTGGTGTCCTGTCCAACTATCCACCAAATAAAATCAGTCACTCACTTAATGGCTGTTTGTGGGTCATTGGAGTGCATTGGTTTCTGCATTTGCCAACAAAATGTACGGTCACTACAATTTACAGCAATTGCCTGTGAAGCACTTTGAGACATTGCAACGTTACAGGAGCCATATAACAGAAGAGGATTACAACTATTCGGTGACTGTTCCCTTCATTGCCCCTAAATGCCTGGACTCTGTGGTGGTCTCTTGTTAGCAATAAAGAAATATATAATAATAATAATTATTGGGTTTGATTCCTGGCAGGGCAATACCTTGGGCAAGTTTCCTTACTCCACTCACCTGCATTTGATATAGTTATGTATCGTGACATCTCAAAGTGCTTTGCAGAATAGACTGTAAAGTGAGTTGACCATATATTTGTGGGCGAAACGTGGAGGCCAACTGCGCACAGCAGTGTCCCACAAATAGTCGTGGATTGAAGTGACCAATTTTATCATTGTTTTTTTCTTGAGGGATTATTATCAGGTGTGTGGAGTAAGGAAACTTGCCCAAGGTTTTGCCCTGCCAGGAATCAAACCCAGGTCTCTCGCTTGTGAGACGAGTGCTCTAACCACTGAGCTACTGGACTCCAGTGGTGGGGCGGAGGGTGTGAGGGACGAGCAGGAGGCTGGTGCCAGTCGAGCGGAGGTGCTAGGTGGTGGATTGGGGAGTGAGGAGGTTGGAGAGGTCGGGAGGTGCCAGGGAATGAAGGGATTTAAACACGAGAGTGAGGATCTTGAAGTCGATCTGTTCGGTGATGGGGAGCCAGTGGAGCCTGGGCCAGAACTAGCATTTTATCACATCAAAGTGTCTCAAAATACATAATTGTGGTCAAGTCTCAAGTGTTTTTATAGGCCAATGTGGCAGCCGTTTGCGACAATTTGCCGCAAACAGCCGTGAATTAATTAATCTCACTTGTAATCTGAGCGTTAAAGTCCCAACAAGATGGTCAAAAACATTATCACTGAGGATCAGAATGAGATATGTAATTTACCCTTTTCACATCAGTTTGCGCAAATAAACTGTCATCTAATTCCAGCTGTTTTCACTCAAGAATCCTTATCAGGGAAGTATCTGTTGCGAAGAAGGAGAAGAATGAAGAGTCAAATTAACTGGCCCAGATGTGAAGCGGCCAGGAATTCCTCAAGGAAATGGGGTCGACATAGGAGCTGAGTAAACTGGGACAGTACCTGAGGACTGAAAGTCAACGAGTGTTGGTAGTTATACTGACTTACACAGCGAGGAAGCACTTTTAGAGCTTTATCAATAATAATAATCCTTGCATTTGATATAGCGCCTTATCACGTCTTTGAGACGTCTCAAAGCGCTTCACAATATGTACTGCAAAGTGAATTGACTATATTTTGTGGACGAAAACATCGCAGCCAATTTCAAGCACAAAAATAGTTCAGTAGAAATATATTTTGTAGGAATCCCGGTGAGGAGTTCTGAGACGTTTCCACATGATGGGCGCTATACTAAATGCAAGGGTTGTTTTATTATATTAACCCACTGAGCTCATCACAATTTGCCACTCAGTTGTTTTGCATTTATCCAGGCATTTTCTTTTAAAATCCAAAGAGGGTTGAATGGTGAATAATATTTAAAATTAAAATGTGTGAAGGACTAAAAAGTTGGCAGCAAACAACTCTGCTGCTTGCATCTGCCTGTATGTAGCGCTACATGCCCACACTTTGGTGCCACTATGGTGGCATCAGACTGGTTTAGTTCATGCCACTCTCGCCTCTGCATGAGATGGTTCAATCTCCCACATCGGGGCTTGGAGCTCACTCCTATGAATTACCAGGGGGGGAAGCGCTGCATTGTTGGAGGTGCCGTCCTTCGAATGAGATGTCAAACCAAGGTTCTTCCTCCTAACGAGATGAATGTTAAGGATCCTGTGATATTGATTGAAAAGAGAAGGCAGCTTCTCCCGTCCGTGCTGACGGTCCCTCGGATAAAATCGTCCGTTGTCTTTGGTGGAGTTTTTGACGTGTGCAAATTGTCTGGCGAGTTTGCCTTAAAAATAATCTAATCTAATAATAATAATCCTTGCATTTGACATAGTGTCTTATCACATCATTGAGACGTCTCAAAGCTCGTCATAAAATATATTGCAAAGTGAATATTTTGTGGGTGAAACTTGGCAGCCAATTGCGCACATCAGCCTCTTACAAACAGCCGTGGATTGAGTGACCAAAGTGTTTTCTTTAAGAGACTATTACCCCTGGAAAGCAATCCGCTAATCGACTAACGACAAGGTTCCTACTTACTGCTAGGTAAACAGAGGCGTGTGCAGTAAGGAAAGTTGCTTAAGGTTTTGGCCTTGCCCGGGAATCAAACCCAGGTCGTCTCACTTGGTGGCGAGTGCTCTAACCAATACACTACAGGACTCCACTAAACAAAAAAAATCACAGCAATTATCTTCGAAACGTACATTGCTATTATTCCTAACTCGACAGAATGGCATCAAAGTATTGAATTTCTTTTCTTTTCTTTTTCGGAACAACAGTTGCTGCCCTATGTCTGCACGCACAATAAAAGTGCGGCTTTAATAAATCTGACCCAAACGGTATTGCGGTTCCGTGCAGAAAGACGCCACTGATTAGCGTTTGCAGCATGGTACTGGGAATTTTGCAGAAAATCATTTTCACAGCTGTTTTATGATGCGAAGCATGTGTGTCTCTCGAACTGCAAAGGATATTCAATACCCCAAAGGATTAAAGGAAAGCTCTCCAATGTTTAAAGGGAAATTGTACATCTGTACAAAATGTTATGGCACTCGCACAAACAGAATTCCTCGGTGACTTCGAATTCTATCCGAGACAATGGTTGTTATCCAACAATATGTCAGCCTGGCTCAGTCGGTAGCACTCTCACCTCGGAGTCAGAAGATTTTGGGTGGGTTCACAGGACATCAGGCTCGTAGCCTAGGCTGAAGCTCCAATGCAGTGGTTGGGTGTGTGCTAATTAGGGTTAGGGAACCTTTGGATGAGAAGTTAAACCGAAGTGTCGATGGGGGACATTAAAGAAATCCATAGCGCTATCCGATAAGAGAAAAGGAGATTTTTCTCTCCCAATGTCCTGATCAACAAATCCCCCAAATAAAAATTGGTCATTCACATCATAGCTGTTTGTGGGACATTGCCGTGTGTAACTGGGCTGCCCTCGTTCGCCTGAATACATCGTGCCACATCCTGTGAAGTTTATTGAGACGTCTCAATGACGTCATTCCAAATGTCAGGATTGATATTGTTATTAATATTTATATCGAATGCAATCAGATTTTGTTAAACAGTGCCCTTAGCACATCAGCAATCAGAACATTAGAGAAAAACATTAGCTACTTCAAAAGCTGTTCATGTTTCCTGGATTAAACCGATGACAATTCAAATTCAAGAGAGAGAGAGAGGATAATTGTGGCTCGTTTATCCATACCAGTCCCTACAGGAGACTAAAATAGCTTGAATGAATGTGCAATGTATTAAGAAAAAGATGATACATCTGTACGTTTTAATCTTATGAATTGGGAGACACGGTTAAAGCATCAAAGTTTAACCCCCCACCCCCCGCCAAATCTTCTCTTAATCTTAATGTTCAGGTTTCATTGAGGTACAACAACAACAACAATAACTTGCATTTATGTAGTGCCCCTCACATTTGTGTAAATGCTGTGAAGTGCTTTGAGATATCCTCGAAAGGTACCATATCAAATGCAAGGATTATTTCATGTGTATTGATTGGGTCTCCTAACAATTAGTTTTTGTTCGGATGGATTTTAAATTGAATCA